CTAATTGGGAATGCGAATGCAAATATACAGAAGTGAAGGCTAATCTAGAAGGAGAGAAGCAAAAAAGCAATAATGTTCCAAGCAAACATGATCTCCAGACAAGCAAAAATTATTGATCTTGAGAATAGGATGCAGAGAGACAACTTAAGAATCATAGGTCTCCCAGAAGAACACAAAAAGCTTAAGAAAAAAAATCTGATAATAATAACTGATCACCAGAATGCAAAAAGCAATATAACTGTCCAGAACTTTGGAACATATTAGTAATGTCTCTGATAAATTTGTTAAGCTCTAAGCCTCAGTGTTTTCAGAGCCACTGGGAAAAAAGTACTGTAAGATTTTTTTGGACCTGGCCAATACTATATATATTGTTACAAGGATTTTGTTTTTTGTTTTTTTTTTTTCAGGAGGAAGGGAGGGAAAAATACCTGATAATTTTTTTCAAAAAGAAGATATTGTGAGTATTTCCAAAGGGCCAGAAAAATATGAGTTGCTCCTGCTGCTGTTACTAATATCTCATTCTTCTCTTTTTTGATGGGGTTCAGATAAAAATGGTCCTAGGACAAGTTGCTATCCTGCTAATATTCTTTTATTAGTATTATTTGTATTGGTAAATATTATGGATGACAATTATTGGTATTATTCATAACATAAATGATATGTCGTAGTCATCATCATTGTCGCATAGAATACCCTGATGGAGGCAGGCATAGCCTTTGTTCAGCTGGACAGAGGACGAGAACGATGTGGTCTGGAAGGCAGGACACCTGAGCTCCTCTCCTGGCTTTGCCACCCACTCACCTGGCCAAGGGCCCAGACCACTGAGCTAATCATTTCCACCCCTCCAGATGATGTCGTAGTCTTCCCTCCCAACTCAGCACTGACTCTTAAGGAAGGAAAGAACCAAGAAAGTGGCAAGATGAGGGTTTTTTTGTGTATTAACCATTCTAGGCTAGCTCCCTCTTTGCCCTGGTGAGGATGGGTCACCCTAGAGGCCAAAGACAGATCTGATTCTACCTCAATTTTCAGCAGTCAGTCCTGCCTTATTCACTAACCTACATCTGGGACTTTTCAGTCAATAGTCAAGAAACATGTTTGCAGCACCTACTGTGCGCCGGGTACTAGGAATACAAATGCCTTCATGCGACGATGCCCTCCCCTCCCCATGGTAAGAGAGGCACTTCTCCTCCTTTGCGCCAACATCCTCCATGAGGTACATTGTATGATCTTCTACTTTCTTTTGTGTAGTCCCCCCTCGACCCTTGCCAGAGTGCCCTCTTCTCTTAGGAGCTGTATTAAAGTAGGAAAACCTCCCCTGAAAGCAGATGAAAGCTCTTGTCCCCAGTGCCCCTTTGGAAATGGACTCAGGACACCCCTAGAGAAGGGTGGGAGGCATATGTGTTCAAGAAGATCGAGATTAGGGAGACAGAGAAAGCAATTTCAATACAACAAATAAAACGTAAACAAGTGTTACCCACTGCGATTGAGACAGCGCTTATGACGGCTCCCAAGTAGCCCTGGATGAACTTGGATGCAGGCAAAGGCTGGAAAACAGAGATAGAATTTTCAGCTTGGCACCTGGAACCCTGGAGAGCAGATTTGACATCACCACCAAGATGATCGTAATTTTACATTTGCAAAGCACTTGTCATACATGACCTCATTTGAGTATGACGATAACCCTGTGAGGTAGACACCACAGAAGGACTACATTATCCCCATTTCTCAGATGAGAAAATGGAGGCTTAGAGAGGGTGATTTGCCCTGGGTTACTGGGCTTGCAAGCATCAGAGGTGGCATGGGAGCCCAAGTCTGTCTTGACTGCAAGCCAAGACACAAAGTATAGCACAGGAGAATGGGAAAAAGCTAGCAGAAATCAAAAGCTAAGTTCAGACCGCTCCTAGAGACGTAACTATGGGGAACACAGATATAATAGAGTGGAGAGAGTGCTAGATTTGGAGTCCAAGGTCCTGGGTTCAAACCCCCCTTCAGTGGGAGGTATCCACTAACCTCTCCTTACTTTTGTCAGTGTGAGAGATAACATTAGCTGTTAATATTAATAATAATAACTGACATTTATCATAGTGTCATAGATTTAGAATTAGAAGGAACTTCACAGGTCAGCTGGTCTAATCCCTTCCATTTACAGAAGAAGAAACTGAGGCATAGAAATGTGACTTGACCAAGGTCACACCACTAGGAATCGAAAGAACTGGGGTTCAAATCCAGTTGCACTGAGTTGAAATCCAGTACTCTTTCTAGGCAGAAGGTAGCAGGGCCTAGATATGAACCCTGGTTCTCTGAACCCAAATCTAATGCTCTTTCTACTGTTCCTCACAAGGAGCACCATACCTCCAGACTCTTGGAGTCTTAAGACCGCCACACTCTTCTAACAATGAAGATAATATATGACAAATTCATTGCCACTAAGGAGTTAGGGACTTAATATGTTCCCCTCTCCTGGGAAGAAGTGGGCTAAAGGGAGCAAAGGTCAATCCAAAGGAATAAATCACTAATGGTGGAATCTTAGGCATCAATCTGTAGAAAGAGAGGGGTGACTTTCACAGCACAGCTAGAAAAAAACAAGTATTCCTCAGCCTTCCCACAAGTCTGGTCCTGCCTAGGAGCCAAAGTTGGCCAGTTCCAGTCCCCACCGTCCCCACAGCCACGGTGGGAGTAGGGCTGAGTGAGCTCACCTTGGTCGCATTGCGGTTTGCATAGTTGACGCAGGCATTGTGACTCTGGTTCAGCCACTGCAAAGAGACAGACAAGAGTCATCAGGGAGCATTTCTGGGAAGCACCCTTCCTGCCATGACCATCCACACGGGCCAACCAAGCAGCACTTTTTGTGGAAATAAAACAACTGGGGAAAAAAAGTGGGGGCCCAAATTCCCTACACATGTAATAGCATTATGTTGCACTGTAAGAAACAACCGATACAAGGAATTAAAAAGAGTAGGAGGACCTGTAGGAACTAAATGCAGAAGAGGGAAGAAAGCAAACAAGCATTTATTATACACCTACTATGTGTCAGCTAAGTAAGCCCTTTACAATCATTATCTCATGTGATCCTCACAAGGGCCCTGGGAGGTAGGTGCTATTATCTAGGAATTACAGATGAGGAAATTGAGGCAGGCATAGGCTAAGTGACTTGTTCAGGGTCACACAGCTAGCAAGTGTCTGAGGCTAGATTTGAACTCAGGTCTTTCTGACTCCAGGCCTAGTGTTCTATCTATTGTACCACCTAGCTGAGCAAAGGTCACACAGCTACTAAGAACCTTGATCTTCGTGACTCCAGTCACCCAACTGAAACCCCTACTGCCAAAGCAGATCAACGACTTTGCGATTTATATTCTTAGAAAATTGTCTGAAGGGAATAAGAGGTTAACTAACTTCCCAAATGGCCCAGCAAACACCCCAAGGCAGGACCTGAGGCCAGGTACTCCGCCTCTAAGGCCAGCATTCGATCTGCCCCACCACACCTGTGAAATGACATGCCCAAAGTCACACAGGCAGTAAGAGGCAGGGAGGGAATCTGAACCCAGAACTCCTCTTGTCCTCGTTCTTCTGGTTCTGCTCTCTCTGCTCACATGAGTTCATGCAAGCCTTCCCACTGTGCTCGGAATTCTTTGGATTTGCTGCTTTCTACAAAGCCAAGAAAAGGTCACATTCTCCTGCGCTTCCACGGGCTCAGCTGGTCCCCAATCAATGGGGTCTCACTTTGTTTGCAGGTATTTTGCTGCCACAAAAAAGTGCTGTTTTGAATATTTTGGCCTATGTGGGGCCTTGCTTACTTTCTTGGTACAGGAATACCAATAAATGTTGAACTGAACTCCTTTCTCAGGGCTGAGGGACACGAAAATCACGTGGGAGTGATCACAGGCCCTGAACCTCTTAAGAAAGGCTCAGCTGATGGAAGGGTGGGCACTTCTAGGAGGAGACTAACTGGAAACCCCTTACCTTCAATTTCTTTAGGGGAGTCACACCCTGTACCCCACTACAGACACACACACAGACACACACAGACACACACACAGAGTTTAATTCTCAATCAGCTGTAAGAGAGCGAAAGTCTACACTACCCAAAAGAAAGATTTAAAAACCTGATTGCACCTGGTTTTCTAATGCATTTGTAATGTGATTGGCCAAGAGAGGCAGCCCAGGTGGTGCTGAGGGGATGGGGGAAGACGGCCTTACCTTCCTCATTAGTTGCAGCTTGGGCTGTGAGTCAAATGAGTCTGCCCTCCCTAAACCTGTCCTGACTCTGAGGGTGAGGAGGAGTGAGGGCTCTGCTGCCCCAAATGCTATTCCTCCTCTAAGTGGGAGCTTGGGGGCTAGAAGAGTGTCAGGAGGGGATTCAGTGCAAACCCCCGATTTCAGGCAGCACTGCATGGATGGGTCAGGATAACACTTGATGGTTCTCAACACTTCATGGACACCCCTCAGGGTCCAATCCTCCCTGCTCCTTACCTATGACCCTGTGCACGTGTGCGTGTGCATGTGCGTGTGCGTATGCGTGTGCGTGTGTGTGTGTGTGTGTGTGTGTGTGTGTGTGTGTGTGTAGTGCGGTAAATAGAGCGCTAGGCCTGGAGTCAGGAAAACTCATCTTGCTGAGTTACAAACTGGTTTTAGACACTTACTAGCTGTGTGACCCTGGGTAAGTCACTTAACCTCTGAGTACGTTAGACAATCTTCTAAGACTCTCAGTTGCAGAGAAGGTGGTGACCTGCATTGGTAGAGGGAGCTTGCTCCCTATACTAATGAAATTACAAGTCCAGTCCTTATCCTTTAACTATGTACAGGCTATCTCTCCCAGCAGTCAGGCAACATGCATTTATTAAGCACTTACTATATACCAGACAGAGTGCTAAGCACCAGGAATAAGCATAGGGAAAGGCAAGGACAGACCCCTACCATAAAGGACTTTCCATTCTATCTGAGAAGACACAGGTAAACTATGTCTACATGGGGGATATCTCACCAGAGGAAAGGGACCAGGAAAGGCCTTCTCCTAAGGTGGGCTTGGAGGTGAGACCTAAAGGAAGCCAGGAAGCAGAGGTGAGAAGCGAGAGGATTCCTGGGAGGGAGGGCAGCCGGGGCAAACAGAAGGCAGGATGATTTCAGTCTTTGGTGTCCCCAACAATGTGTGGCACAAAGTAGGTATTTAATCAAGGTTTGTCGATTGTCAATTGATTTTTCTCTTTAATGGGGCTACAAAAAGAGGCTGTCAAACAGAATGAGGAGGGCTTCCTGCGCAGGAAGTGCTTACGTTGGTATTTGTTGTTGAATGTTTGGGACCCACCTCCTGGAGAATTCTGGGAAAGAGTTACCTGCCAGAAGATGGTGGAGGCCAGGGTCTGGTTGGGCAGGAGGAGGCCAACAACCTGGTAGAGAGAGAGAAGAGAATGAAGACACTGCTGCTTCTGGTCTTTGGGGATGGGGCAGGGGGGGGCGGGCGCTCTGGCTTTTAGAGAAGGGGTTGGGGAGGCCTCTGACACCCCTCCTCAAATGCCTTCCTCTGGGAGAGACCGGGTATTGAAATACAAAGAACTCCACTCTTTTAATCATGAAAATGCAGGAAATAACATTCCCTCTATCTCTGATGACTTCTTATGAGGAGTAAATGGGGTAAGGGATGAGAACATTATATATAAAGTATGGCCCAAAGGCAAAGTGTGGGGCGGGGCATAACTGTATTATTTACAATAATTTCTTTATAATAATTGTTCCAAGGTTTAGCTGCTTTAACCAGGATGTTGTTGATTTTGAAATGATACGATAAAAGATGTCATTGAGATGATATAATGAAAGATGTCAATCATTTCAGTCATGTCTGACTCCTCATGGACCCATTTGGGGTTTTCTTGGCAAAGATACTAGAGTAGTTCCTTCTCCAGCTCATTTTACAGATGAGGAAACTGAGGCAAACAAGGTTAGGTGATTTACCCAGGGTCACACAACTATCCCTTGCGCCACCTCGCTGCCCTGTGATGAAAGATAGCTAGTACAAATATGATCTGAAGGCCAAGCACAGACTTAATGAGAAGCAGCTTGTGGTGAAGTGGATAGAGCACTGGGTCTGGAGACAGAAGACCTGAGTTCAAATTCAGCCTCATACACTCACCAGCTATGCCATCCTGGACAAGTCACTTTCACTCTGTTTGTCCCAGTTTCCTCAACTGTAAAACGGGGATAACCATAGCTCCCATGTCAAGGTCAAATGAAACAGTATTGGCAAACAAACAAACAAAAAAAAAAAAAAGCTTAGCACAGTGCTTGGCACGTAGGAGGCATGACATAAATTCTAATTTCCTTAATATCAAGGTTGGCCTGACAATCTTGACATTAGCCACTAGAGTCTGGCTAATGTACACATTGATGAAGAAGAATGTAACTAATTGGTTTGTAAATTAACCTTACAGATATATTTGAAGAACTGATAATTACCCGTCCCGAATGGTGCTTCTACTGGTAATAATCCTGAAAATTTATATTTGTCCTAATGAGATAGGCCATTAATGTAGCCTTTTGTGGAAGTCAAGATTAACTGGTTGATCTTGACATGAGCTACGGTTTGTAATTGTAACAGATGCTTCCATACATATGACAATTTCACCTTTCGCCTGTGTTTGGGTGCCATGTACCATATACAAAATATAATCGCATATGGGGAAAACGTGTACAGCCTCAGACACATATTGACTTATTTATTACTCTGATACATAAGATTGCTCTCTTGGCAAGAATTTTCCACAAGGAACAAGTGTAAACATCCAGTATTGCATAGTACATCAAACCCTACACACTGTCAGCCACATTAGTAAACCATGTTTTAAACATTAAAAAAAAATAAATGGTTCAGACACACACATGTACTTCTTGGCCCACATCGGATTAAATATCGTAAGCTTAAAGCCACTTTACAACTTCTATTAGAAGTTACCCTGCAATATTCAACTCCCCAACCAAAAACTAAGGCTAGAAAAATGTTCTGCTTCTGAGACTTTCTGTCTGGAAGATCTTGGGCAAGTCACTTAACCTCTAAGTACCCTAAGCAACTAGGTCTTTAAAAAGATAAGTTGCAAAGGAGTCAATCTACCTCAGTTGAGGGCATTTCCTCATGGGGGAGAGCTCCCTGAGCCACTGATGTCACACGTCCAGTCCTGCATCCTATCCTAGCCCTAAAATTGTGAGATCCAAGGTCAATTTTGAGCTCTGATCCTACAAGTGCCATTACATAGCTAATTTCAAGTCAGTCAGTCAACAAGCATTTATTAAGGGCTTACTCCCATGCGAGACACCATGCCAGAATACCATCCCTGTCCTCAAAAATCTTCCTTTCTAACAGAGAGACAACATACAAATGTTTATATACACAAAGAGCCACAGGATGTAAATGTAAAGTAAAACTGTGGAGTTAGATGGAGAGATCATTAAGGCCCTTTTCTTGTCTTGAATTCTTTCCTCTTGAACATAATGTGACATATGTAAAGTTATTAATTATTTTGTGGCTTATTCTTTGGAGACCCAGGACCTTCTCCTTCTTTATCTCCCAGTCCTTCCCAAGAGAGAAAATGGAGAGGGAAGAAAAGGATAGAGAGAGAAAGAAAGGGAGAGAGAAGAAGGGAGGGGGCAAAGGGGAGGGAGAGGAAGAGGGAGAAAGGAAAGAGAGAGAAAGGGAAGGAGGAAAGGAGGGGGAGGAGGAGAGAGAATTTGTGCCTCTGGTTATATTCCAAAGCTAAATTAAATATAAATGCAGTTTTTGATTAACTGCTGTTAGGTATTATCTGTACCTCTGATCTCTTTTACATAGTGGGGGTGGGGAGGAATGGTTAAGGAAAGGGAGACTCGCTTACAAACACCACAAACTAATACTTCCCTACATAGGTCTTATGGCTAACCCAAGACATCTATGCCTCCGGGTATCTCTGCCTAGGTCAGATGTTCATGCTGGAAGCTCTGGATGCTTCAGCTACCCAAGGACAAAGTTCTCACTGGGCCTCACCCTTTCAGAATCAATGACTTCCATAAAGGTGGAAAATGAAGGGGATTGGCCAGATGCCCTCTAAGGTCATTTACCTAGATCTCAGGTCCCATAATATATGGGCCAGAGTAGTCAGAAGATGCAGGGCTTAAAGGATGAATAAGACTGGTGAAAGGTGTGGGAGGAAGGCAAGTTGAAAAGTCTGGGCATTGGACATAGCACGAGAAAAGAAAAGTATGGAGACAGGAATAAGCATCATGTGCCCCCCAGACTTGGGGGCCAATGAAGAGATAGGCCTGGTTGAAGCACAGGTTATGTACCAGGGAGTAACAGAAGTGATGCCCCAAGGTTTGGGGGCAGGAATGCTGAGCCTGGAGTCAGAGAATCCTAGCTGTGTCACTTACTTGCCCTTCTGTGCCTCAGTTTCCTCATTTGTAAAAAATAAGTAGTTGGGGGGGTCAGCTAGGTAGCACAGTGGATAGAGCACCAGCCCTGGAGTCAGGAGGACCTGAGTTCAAATCTGCCCTCAGACACAAGATACTCACTGGCTGTGTGACCCTGGGCAAGTCACTTAACCCAATTGCCTCACAAAAAAATAAAATCAAATAAAAAAATCAAATAAGTAGTTGGACTAGATGATCCTTGATGCTAGGAGCCTATAAAGTCGCCTCAGTACATAGAGCAGGGACACCTGAATGTTTGGTTGAATGGGACAGATCAGGGACAGGAAGCCACTGAAGATTCTGGGGGTAGGAAGGAGTAATCAAAGATCAATGCTGAGGGGCAGCTAGGTGGCACAGTGGAGAGAGCTCCAGCCTTGGAATCAGGAGGACCTGAGTTCAGATCCGGCCTCAGACACAAAACACTTACTAGCTGTGTGACCCTGGGCAAGTCACTTAACCCCATTGCCTAACAACAACAACAACAAAAAAAAGATCCATGCTGAGCCCCAGCTGCTCACAACTGGAGAATGAGTGAGTCAATCCTTCACAATATTCTCTATTATATCTAGGTGGCCCCATGCTAGAGCAATCCCATCTAGGCTTCCACTAGGACAGCAGGCTGGCACCTTGCCATCTGTCCTGCCCTTCTTCGTGTATGCCCACTCCCTTCCACTTTCTACTTCTTGCAGGGGTGTGTGTGTGTGTGTGTGTGTGTGTGTGTGTGTGTGTGTGTAATTGTGGCAGTTTTAGGAAAGGCTCTGGAAAAGGCATGACAATTCGCTGCCCAATGGCTCCACTCACAAGCTCTGTTACTCCAAAGCTTCTTTCCCTACCCACCACTCTCTGATATACTCTCCCCCACCCCCACCCCCCACACAGAGCACCTACTCCAGTTGAATATAAGCTCCTTGAGGGCAGGGACAGCCTCCCTTTTGTCTTTGTCTCCCTAGTGCCTAGCCCAGAGCCAGCCACCAAATAAACGCTTGTTGATTAACAGGGTCCTTGCCCTGGAGGAGCTCAGAGTCTATCTGGGGATAGCAAGGGCAGCCAGCCACTGGCAGTTTTATCCCCTATTAGGCAGAAACACAGAACCATCTGCACACTCAGAGAAGAAGCAAGAGGAGATATTTTATAACTTCCCTTTAAAAAGAAAAAAAAAAAAGCCCAAATCTAAAATAAAGTGTTCTCTTCAGTTCTCAGATGTATATCTCTGGGTGCAATCCACCCACGCTCCCGCTCGCTGCCCTTTCCAGAGCATGGTGGATGGGGAGGGGGAAGGGAAGATAGATGGGAGGGGGACGACTTCACTGGGGCTGCAGCAAAACAGGGCTGGGTTTCTCCTGCCCTTGCTCTGTAGTCCAGAGAGTCTGAAGCTGGGGGGAAGTGGGGGGGTGGGTGAGGCAGGGAGCTGGAGATACCCCTGGGCTATAAGGGAAGGATGATGGAAATGATGTGTTGTGATAGGAAGACAAAGGAGTCAGGCAGGAGACACAACCATTAGCCCAGTCAATTCAATTCAATACAACAAGCACCTACCCCACCCCCAGAGTCAGGAAGCCCTGAGTTCAAATTCTCCCTCAGACACTTACTGGCTGTGTGATTTGGGCAAGCTACTAAATTCTCTCAGCCTCAATCTCTTAATCTGTAAAATGGGGATAATAAGAGCACCTACCTAAAACGGTTGCTTTGAAGATCACACGAGATAATATATTAAAGCGGGGCAGCTAGGGGGCACAGTGGATAGAGCGCCAGCCCTGGAGTCAGGAGGACCTGAGTTCAAATCTGGCCTCAGACACATAATGTTCACTAGCTGTGTAACTCTGGGCAAGTCACTTAACCCCAATTGCCTCACTTTAAAGTGCTAGCTATTTTATTAATATGTAATGATAATTTGTAACCTAGGAGTCATCCTGGATTCCTCAGTCTCTCACCCCTTATATCCAATATGTTATCAAGG